TTTGGAATTGATCTGTATGTTCGTCTGATTTCACTATCGATTTGTGTTCTAATCTGAATTTCGCCGGTGCAAATCGAGTTATTTGTACGTTTCTTCGTACTGTTTTAGTCGACTTGATATCATCCTTTTCAGATTTGCTTGGTTTTGTACGGATTCGAGCTTGAAGTCAAGCTTGTTTGTTTTCTAAGAGTCTTTTTAGGGTTTTATCGTGCTGTAACGCAATGGTGGTGGGTTCTCGGACTCCGATTGGGTTGCCGCCGCCGCCGCCATCACAATCCTCGAAGAATCACGGAATCACACAGCCAATATCTCTTGCTGGTCCTACCGACGTTGATATCCAGCGCAATGCTGAATTGGAGAAGGTTGTCTTTTCGGAGAAAGTGTTTTTTTTTCCGTCCCCCCTCAAGTTGAATGTTTTGCTCATTTTCATGTCATGAATTTTGTTATATTGGCAGCTTCTGGTGGATTCGGGGCTTTACGAAAGCAAAGAAGAAGCTGCCAAAAGAGAAGAAGTTCTTGGTTGTATCAGTCTGGTAATTATTGCCTGATAGGTTGCAGTTTTTGGTTGTTATTTCTGTGCATGCTTGGCAGGAGAGAGAGTCTATAGATTTGCAGCTGAGAAGAGGGCTCTGGTAGAATGAGTAGAACATGAAGGATTGAATGAGGTCTTGAAATTAACTTGAGCTTTCAATTGACTAAGCTAGAAACATAATCTCTTTTTCCTTTCCCAACTAGGAAGAAGTATAGATGGTTAGATGTGGTGGCATTTTCCCTACCTGGTGCTTTCCATTCTTGGTTGACGACTAGGTTAATCACCCTACGTTTGGGTGACTACTTTAACTTTTTGAAAATCTCTGAGTGTGAGCCTTGAAAAATTCAGGATTTTAGCTTGATCTTTCTCTTGTTTTGCAATAGTCTTATCAAAAGCCTCAAGGACTTCTCTTGGCTAGGATAAAGTAGGATAGTCTAAATCTTGAAAGTTTGTACATTAATTAAATTTTGAGAATAAATATACTTGGGAATGAAAATAATTGAAGACAAGTAATAAAGTCTGGAGAAGGCCACGGCCCTAGGCCTAGCAAGGAAAATTCTCCTCTTTTGTGAACTTTGTTATTATGTTGACTTCAACTTAATTTTTCTCGTCCGGGTAACTTCATTTATGTATCCCATCTTTTATTGATCTAATGGATATTGTTGTAGAACAGTAGCAGTCTAGCTGTTTTAAATGGGTTTCTAGTTGTGTCTTTCAACTTTCAAGGGTTTGTATATTTATTTCATATTTTTGGGTGCCGAAGCTTCTCTCCAAAGTTAGTTTTTTCTCCTTGTAGATCGTGAAAGATTGGGTCAAACAATTAACTCGTCAAAGGGGCTACTCAGATCAAATGGTGGAGGAAGCAAATGCCATTATTTTTACCTTTGGGTCTTATCATCTTGGGGTAAGTATCAAGTCGGCATGCTTGTTTGTCAGGCACTTACATGGAGGAGTTTTGCACACCAGCTATGAGTTATTATTTCTTTGTTTGGCATAAATTTTCCATTTCACTTCCCTGGTCAAAGCCAAGAAGTTTTTCCTGGTCATCGAAGTGGAATGAGGGGCAAAACCCCTAGAAAAACAACTTGCCACATCGCCAAAACGCAAATGAAAAATAGGTTATCTGACACCATTTCCCAAGCAAAACTTCCCAACCACTTTCCAAGGCAACACACCAAGGGGTAGAAGCTTTGCAGGAACGAAATGACTGCTAAGAGCAATTTGCTCTTGCGTTGTTTTGACTCTACATGTTGTGTCTTGGCAATTTTGGAAGTAATAAACTACTTCTTTGACAGGTACATGGACCTGGGGCTGACATAGACACTTTGTGTGTTGGACCTTCTTATGTGAATCGAGAGGTGCTTCAGGAATAGCTGGCAAATCATTTACTTTTTCAATAAATCTGAGTGCTTTTGGTTTCAGTTCAACTAATACTTGTTTGAGTTTATTTACCCAGGATTTCTTCGTTATTTTGCGTAGTACTCTGGCTGAAATGGAAGAAGTTACTGAACTTCAACCAGTTCCAGATGCTCACGTCCCAGTTATGAAATTTAAGTTCCGGGGAATATCAATTGATCTTCTTTATGCAAGTATATCTCTTTTGGTTGTTCCAGATGTAAGTCTCAAATGCTTTGATTTATTATTATTTGAACTTAGCAATCTCATTGACCTGCACGCTTATGCCTTCTTCCACTTGAGATAGAGAATGATTTCATTTAATTTACAGCTTATTTAGTACAGTATCTCGAAGACAAAGGTACTAGTTAAGTGAAAGTAAATGTTATCACCTCTTCTGAATTCACCTAGCCCCCACTATAAATTTATTTTCAGCTAGAACACATAAAATTTTTCGGTTTCTACTCTGCATGGCTTTGATAAAGGTGCAGGAGGCCTTTTTTTTAATCAGAAAAGATACAGGAGGCCATTATTTGCTACTAGTATTGTAAAAGGAAGAACAGGACTGGTCTTCTAATGAAAAACAGACTGAAGTAATTGTGTTAGGGTTTCTGGGTTCTATACTGCTATTATCCTGCAACTGGGCTCAGTGGTTCAAAATGAGTTTGTCCAATAGCTGGAAGGATCTTAGTGCGTTTCACGGTTTTGTGGCTATGATGTCTTTACTGTTTATGGGACCATGTTCTGTTTGATACGATCATGTTTTGGAAATGTTTGACAGGACTTTGACATCTCTCATGGGTCTGTGCTGTATGATATTGATGAACAAACTGTTTGAAGTCTTCATGGGTGCAGGGTTGCAGATCAAATCCTTAAACTCGTTCCAAATGTTGAGGTGAACATTTAACATGCCTGGCTCTCTGTTTTATTTTACTTTTTTTATTTTTTTTATTTTTTTTATTTTGTATATATAAAACAGTCTTTTATTCCTTTGCATAACTGTAGCATTTCCGGACAACACTCAGATGTTTGAAGTTTTGGGCTAAAAGGCGTGGTATATATTCAAATGTAAGATGAGCATCTTGATGGGATTTTCTTCTTCATATTGTTCATCTCCACTTTCTTTCTTTGTAGGCAACTGGATTCTTAGGAGGTGTTAATTGGTCTCTCTTGGTAGCACATGTCTGCCAGCTCTATCCCAACGCAATCCCCAGTATGCTGGTTTCTTGATTTTTCAGAGTGTATACACTGTGGCAGTGGCCAACCCTGGATGCTGTGTCCCATAGATGCAGATGAACTTGGTTTAACCGAATGGGATCCTCAGAAGAATCCTTGTGACTGGTTGCATCATATGCCTATAATAACTCCTGCATACCCATGTATGAATTCTAGCTATAATGTTTCTTTAAGCACTCTTCGTGTTATGATGGGCCAGTTCAAATGTGGTAACAGGATATGTCAGGTGAGAATGCCTGGTGGTTTTATTTGCTATTCCCCCAGCAATTGAGCAATGATACACAACCTGTGTAATTCTGTCCTCTTGCAGGAGATTGAGCTGAACAAAGCACAGTGCAGTGCTTTATTTGAGCCATATCTTTTCTTTGAGGCATACAAAAACTATCTACAAGTTGACATAGTTGCATCAGATGCTGATGATTTGCTGATATGGAAAGGCTGGGTGGAGTCACGGCTTAGACAGCTTACTTTGAAGGTAAAAACTTTTCCTTCCAAACTCCTTTGCTGCAGGAGTTTTCTGCTTATGTAAAACATCATGCTGAAGATTGTGAGATAATGTTAACTGTTGCTAGTGTTTTCCTCCTTATTTATGCTTTCCATGTGTAACTCTGCAGATAGAGCAGGGTAGAAATGGAATGTTGCAGTGTCATCCCTATCCAAATGAGAATGCAGATGCATCTAAGCAGTTCCCACATTGTGCTTTCTTCATGGGTTTGCAGAGGAAAGAGGGACTGAGTGGTCGGGAAGGTCAACAATTTGATATATGTGGAATGGTTGAAGAGCTTAGGCAAGAGATACATGCATACACGTTCTGGAAACCGGGAATGGAAATTTTCGTTTCCCATGTTTGGAGGAAGCAGCTTCCTGCCTTTGTTTTTCCTGATGGGTATAAACGGTCTCGATCATTTAGGCCTCTAAGCCAGCAGGCTGGAAGAATCTCTGAAGATTTTTCACGGTCTCGGCCTGGTTCTGCAGAGAGACAAATTAAGAGAAAGCATGATGACAGATTAGAAGATCCTAAACTAGAGAAGTGGGTCTCTCTGGGGGCTAATTCTCCAGAACGTAGTACAAATGGGTGTGGTGGAAGATCTCATACTAGCTTTGGTGAAGCAACTAAACTAGATGGCTCAATGAATGGGGATGTTGGTGGCAATTCCATGGTTGGGTTGTTAATCAAGCAGGTAGACAACGGAAAGAGAACTTTGGAGATTACCAACCAACAGAGAAAAACTTTTGAGTGCAATCCTGTCACCTCAAACGAGAGGACTTCTTTAGATGTATATGATTTTTCATTAGTTAGGAATGATGTGGCCTCGGCTGAACAGGCTGTTGAAACCATTCCAAGACATGAGCTTCTTGCTTCATGTGAAGTTCCCAATTCTAAAGTCCAAGAAACATGCAAGAGTGGACTGAATCAGGATATAATTGTGGATTTGGCATCATCTTACAGGGGAAGCTTAAACTGGAAAGAGACTCTTGTGGAGGTTGATCAAGAGGTAGTCAAACCTTATAATCAGGCAGCTGTGTTAGAAATTGCTGAAGGTGTATTTGGGTCAACTTCCAATTCTCAGAACCTCAATTGTGAGGTGAGTTTCTCTGTTTGAGGATTTTGGGTTAAAAGATTTGTACCAGATGACAGTGAGAATTCTGGAAGTTTGAGCTTGTGAGAGTCAGGGATCTTTGCAGGCTGGCATATGCAGTGCAGATTTGGATTCACTTCTGGAAAATGGACATCTCAATGCAAGTGGTGTATTTCAAAATGATCTGACCAAAGAATTGGAGGTTTGAAGTCCAACCTCAGAACTCATGCTGGTTAATATGTTTCTAAATTTCTGCTTCTCATACTGTTGGGTTTTCCTTTGTCTTGTTAGTACCTTCTTTCCTGTATTGTGGGTCACTGTTGATGGGATAAATTCTTTATATTTATATTTCTGGCACTTCAAAGGGTCAGGACTCAACATTTAACGGGGCAATGGAGTGAGATCTCGGAATCAAATGACTTTGAGCATGTTGTGACTTTCTCCCCTTTACTTTTTCCCTGAAAATTTTTCCCATCTTTTATGGAATCAGTGCAACCTTTTGTAACTTAATCTTCCTTGATTTTTTAATACACTAATATAGTTTGTACAGTCAATATCCTAACTTGTGCATATGTGGTGACAGGTCTTGCACCACCATACGTGCTATGTCTCCAGTAACTGTGCTTAAGAACCTGACTCTATTTTGCATCTGAGGCTCAGATACTTGACCCTCCTTCTTATTTTCTTTTGATTGGTATGTTGTTCAGAACCTAACTTTTCTTGTAACTTTTGTTGTATAGCCAAATATTACACTTGGGAAGGTTGTAAAATCTCAAGATCAAGTGAGGTCAGAAACTTTGCAATAGCCAGTGATAAGGCATGCGTTTTTGAAACCTCCATTTTGTATATGCAAATTATGATCTCTTTACGCTGTTTGTTTGGTTTGTGTGATTCCTTTTAGCAGGTTGAGTTTGAATTCAACAACCTAATGTTTGGAAGATGATGCATGCAGTAAAATTGTCCTTGTGGAATGAGAACTAGACAGCACCATGGTAAGTGCCACATTAATTACTGGCTTTCACTATGGTTTTACAGGTATACTCCAGAGTGAGTTGGTAGGACATGTGCAGAGCTCTGCAGATACAAGAAGCTAATGAATTACATCGGTTCTGTGAAGGCACTTCCCATCTCATTTGTTCTATTTGTGTTGCGGTACATTTCTTGGCTTTGTTTTTTTTATGAGAATTAATCATTAAGTGGCAAGATGTTTGGTTCATGTGACATTCAGATCCTAAAACCATTCTTTAGATCTTTGTACATTCTTCCCCTAATACAGTTCATTAGCTGCCTTATTGTTATCTACTACTGTTTTTTCCTCTTATTCTTTCTCTTACCTGCTCTTGCTGGATTCAAAAAACTACTGAAACATGAACGGCCGGAAACTACACGATCTCTCTTTCACCGTGTCATGTAGGCAACTATTATGTGCTGTGGGGCATCAGACGCAATTGATCGCCCGGTAGTCATCTTCCCCTGATTCTTTTGTACTCTGCTTGTAACCATAAGTAGAGCTGCAAGGAACGGGGGCATCATGAACTTCTCTTTCCGTTTTATTTCCTTTATAGCTTCTTCCCAGCGGACCATGATGTTGAAGACAATGCAAAACTTCCTTCATGGAAGGCCTGGAAGATGGTGAAGTGCTCGTACATATAAGCCCCAGCTTGTACACTGAAGTCATTTCCTCCAAGTGACAAGGTTCGTAGGCCTCCGGATCAAATATTTCAACCTCGGGCCTTCCCTCAGAGTAATGCTGCCACGCCCATTCTGCAAGGCTCGTGTGCTCATCTCCCCTGTTGGCTTCTCTTCCCGTCACCAATTCCAGAAGTACCACTCCAAAGCTATATACATCAATTTTTTCATTCACCCTTCTAGTGTACGCGTATTCTGCAGTATATAAAACAGGTAAGCAAATAGATCCACTACAGAACATCCATAAAGCTTTCTATTGATCATACCTGGGGCAAGATAACCAAAAGATCCTGCAATTGCAGACATGGTGTGAGGCTCTCCCTGCTTATTTAGCATTTTCGCTAGTCCAAAATCTGCAATTCTTGCCTTGAATTCCGAGTCTAACAAAATGTTGCTAGACTTGACATCACGATGAATAATGGGTGGACAGTAGTCATGGTGCATGTAGCAAAGCCCCTGAGCCGCACCAATAGCAATTTGCATTCTTGTTGGCCAGTCCAGTACAACGTGGTGAACTGAATTCATCCCGAGACTACTTGATTTTTTCTCCTTCGCATGTAGCCACCTATCCAGGCTCTGGTTCTCCATGTACTCGTACACCAGATGCTTCGAATTCTCATTCGAAATGCAGCACAACAGCTTTACTATGTTGGCATGGCGAATCCTACCCAAAATTTCAACTTCTGCTGTGAACTCTTTCTCCAACTTACCATCCAGTTTCTTGTTATTCCAAATTCTCTTCACAGCTACAAAACCGCCTGACTCATTAATAGCAATCTTGTACACTTTTCCAGACCCACCACTTCCTATTAAATTATTCTCCGTTAACCTGGACACGATATTCTCTTCTGTGAAATCCAATCTATGGAACGAGGTTAGCTTCCATGTTGCATGATCACCTTCTCGTTTTTTACCTCGGTAGTCTATCATCACGAACAGGATCGATAAAACAGTAACTATGACGATTATAACCGCAAGAGACAGAATCAAAGGAAGATATTTAGAGGTCAGTTTTCTGGGTTTGGAGCTGCAGTGTGGAAGATTTAGGATTGGAGTATCTACACAGAGATTGGGATTGTTCAAGAAACTGTTTTCGTAGGCAAGGTTGTCAAACTCATCTGGGATTTTTCCGTAAAGCTTGTTGGATGATAAGTTCAGTGATGTGAGCCTCAGGTTCGCAAGGTTATCTGGGATTTTTCCAGAAAACTGGTTTTCTGATAAATCCAGGTTGAGGAGGTCAGGCAAAGACCCAATTGCTGCCGGGATTTGACCGGAAAGTTTGTTTCCGGATAGATCCAAGGTATTCAACGATTTCCAGGAGGCTATATCCGATGGTAATTGGCCGGAGAGTTGATTTCCATCCAGGTGGAGAGTAATTAGGCCAGAAAGATTCGTTGTTTCCTCAGGGATTTTGCCAGAAAAGAGATTGTTACTTGCCTCGAAGACTCTCAAACTTGACCAAGAACCAATTCCGATAGGGATATTGCCGGAGAATTTGTTTTTGCTGATTTTCACCGTGGACAGATTCCGTCCTAGTTGGCTCGGTAATTCCCCCGAAAATGAATTGTTACTCAGTATCAAAACTGATAAATTGAAAGTCGTCCAGAGACCTGGAGGAATCTCCCCTGAAAACTGGTTGTTGTGAAGCTGAACAGTCGTGAGAGTGCTGCAGTCTCCGAGCGACGCCGGTATTGGTCCGCTGAGATTGTTTGAAAACGCAACCACTCCCCGTAGAACACGGCCGGCACATAAATTTTCTGGTAGTTGACCGGTGAATTGATTGCCGCAGACCTCAAAAACTTCTAGCTTTGAGTGGAGGCCAAATTCTGCTGGTAAGACTCCACTCAATTTGTTTGAGAAAATCTTAAATATCTTCAAAACGGGAAGTTTATCCATGCCGGCGGGTATCTCCCCTGTTAACTGATTCGATATCAGATCAAAGAAAACCAGCTTTTGCATCATCCCAAATTCTTCTGGTATCGTGCCTGTCAAATTATTCCTGGAAAGATCAATTTCAACCAAGTTCAAAGCTTCGACGGTTCTGGGTATCTCACCGGAGAGTTCATTATCGAAGAGATACAAGTTAGTCAGATTCTTCAACATGAGAAGCCTGCTAGGGATTGGACCTTCCAGATTGTTGTGCGACAACTCTAGCCATTCTAGGCTCGAGATATCGGCGAAGCCATCCGGAATTGTGCCGATTAAATTCGTCTCCGTTATCCATAAGTTCTTCAATTTCTTCAATTGAGTAAACCCATTGGGTATCTTCATCGGCACAAAGCCATTATTGGCCATCCATAGACGCTCAAGATTGGATAGGTTGCCGATTTCCTTCGGAAAAGTGCCGTTGAACTGATTATCTTGCAAACGGAGTTCTTTCAATTCCCGTAATCCTCCGATGCTTGGAGGAATGTGCCCGGAGAAGTTGTTGCTATTGACGTCTAAGTAAACCAGAGTAGATAATTTGTAAATGTCAGCGGGAATTGAGCCGATGAAGTTGTTGTGGGAGAGGTCTAAGTACTGGAGCTTCGAGCAATTGTAGAGCAAAGTTGGGAACTCTCCGGGGATAAAATTGGAGGCCAAATCAAGGAATGTGAGGTTCTTAAGTTTGCAGATTGATGGTGGAATTTTGACGGTGATGTTTATATGGAGCGAAACGCTGGTGACTGAACCATCAGTGCAGTTGATTCCTGGCCAAGAACATGGTGAGGATGAGTCGTTCCATGACTGGATGGCCGGCGGGTTGCCCAACTGCTGCTTCAGGTTGAGAAGAACAGTTCGCTCTGTTTCTATGGTTTCTGAAATTACATAGAAGGGTATGGAGATGAGGAACAAGAGGAGGAGTTCTGGAAACGGTTGGGGAGGTTTGGACATTTTGGATGTTTCAGGTTGTTATTCTGGTTGGGAATTTTACCGCGAAAACTAAAGGGGAATCTAATCGGCTCTTAGCAAACGAATCTCCCGATCTGCAGGTTCTTATAAAGCATAACCCCCTAAAAGTCCTCCAACTATTTGTTTTTGAGTCATTAGCCCCTTAACATATATTTTTTGTATTTCAACTCATAAACTTCAAGTCATTGTTGTAATTAACTTAAAATAAATAAAATCATATCATATGAGTCTACCTAACTATTGTTACTCCATTACCCTATTTTTGCTAGAGTTATGTTGGTATAAATATGGTTCATTAATGATCATAAAAATGAAAAATTTTCATTTAAAGTACATAAATTTTATTTTGAGTGAAATTTTTCTTGATTTCATAAGTTTAAGTAAATTATATTTATATTAGTACAGTACTAACAATGATTAGGTAATGGAGTGGAAATGACTAATAATTTACGTAATAAGATTTTATTTATTTTAGACTGATTAAAAAAATAACAAAAAATTTATATATTAAAATATATAAAATATATGTTAAGACCTAATAGTCTTAAAGACAAACAATCGAAGGGTTAAGAGGGGTTAAGCCGTTCTTCTGTTGGAGAAATTCTATGGCATACTATCTAACATGATATCCACGTCCAATGAGAACATTACAACTCAGTAAAATTGGACACTTCATCTTGCACAACAACACACATCACTTATTTAACTTCAGTTCAAAAAAAGAAAAAAGAAAAAAGAAAAAAGAAGAACAATACACATCATCTAACGAAGAATTTAATGTAACAAAAAACTAGCGGAGTATTTCTTTCTCCTCCCCTTACCTCTTTCCCCACTGCGTCTACTGTTTGTCAATTTCTCCATCATGATGAAGAGATACACATAAATATCAAGAATTGAGAAAGCAAGATCAGATCGAACGAGTTATTGCAATAAGATAATTAACGATTTTTAAGACCCAATTGAGTTTACTAATATGAAAATCTTCTTTCTTTTTTTGATGTATATTCTTGTCAGGGGAGAAATTTTGTGAAGGAAGAAGACAGAGGAGAGAGATGAGATAAACGGAGGAGAAAGAGAAGGTTCGTGCCGGAGAAATTCTCTGTTAGTTTACGTCTCTTTTTGGATGATTATTATTATTATTATTATTTTATTGAGTTGTGATAATATTATTGGACGGGTGTGTGTAAATTTAATACTATTTGACAAACTGATTTTTGAGGGAAGAT